GGTTCTCCAGAACTGGTCAGAACTTGCTGCATTCTACCTCTGAGCCCAATCAACAACAGTGAAACAGTAGAATTTTACCTTGGAATCTGCCACTATTTTACTCCTGTCCGACTTGTCTTCCGACCTAATAATTTTAAAAAAATGATGGGTAATCTAAGGCCCTCTGAAAGTTGCTGAACCGCAATTCTCTGTACCCATCACCACTGGCCTTTGGTAATTGTAGTTGAGCAATATCGGAGAGCCACAGTTTTCTCAGCTTTTCATGAAAGTCCTTGTTCAGCTGATCAGCATTTTGCATTCATATTCCATGAGAACCTTTTCAGTCCTGCTCTGCTTTTCTAACCTCCTCCCCATATTTCTTCTGTCTCAATTCTTATTTTATAATCGTAGGAACATGAGATAAGAAGGGGATATCTGTCTGATCTGCCCCCAGTCAGAATGCAATGTGTGTGTGGATTAAGTTCTAAGTATCTAGTTGCCTCTAAAGGCCAGCGAAAACAATATCTTTTCAAATTAAAAAGAACTATCATAACGAGGAGAAAATACCCATCTCCACTCTTTGCCAGCCCTCCTGTAGCTTTCTGTTTATTGTTTGTTTCATCCAGATGGGAGAAATGCACCCTATTGTTACAGAAGCCATTCCAAGCTTCCCCAATCACGCAGATAAAGGCTTGGTCAAGCTTTTGTCTGAATGATCTTTTGGGTTCTGAAAGAAATTAAACAGACATCACTAAATGTCTCATCACTAAACATTCCAGTGTTCCAATATTTGAGGGGCTGCCATAGAGAGGAAGGGGGTCAAGCTATTTTCTAAAGCACACCTGCAGGCGAGACAAAGAATAATGGATAGAAATTGAACAAGGAGAGATTCAACCTGGAAATAAGGAGAAACTTTCTGACAGTGAGAACAATCAACCAATGGAACAGAAGTTGCCCTCGGAAGTTGTGGGAGCTTCATCACTTGAAGCTTTCAAGAAGAGACTGGACTGCTATTTGTCAGAAATGGTGTAGGGTCTCCTGCTTGGGCAGGGGTTGGACTAGATGACCTACAAGGTCCCTTCCAACTCTGAGTATTTGTTATCTGCTAAATCTTCTGTCTATGGCCAGAATAAACCACTAGCATTTACAAGAGGGAAAAAATCACAGGTGTGGGTAGCTTGGTAGAAGCCATTCTGCCTTCTAAACAAGACCTCGGCTCATGATTTTTTTCATTAAAATCATACTTGCTTGCATCCAAACTTGGAAGCCACGGAGCTGACCTCTCGGAAACTCAGTATGACTTTATTTCTGTCCTTTCTTTAATACTAAAAAACAACCCCATGCTTGCCAAACATTCCAAACAGTCCTATGCTCTTTATTATATAGCACCAAACAGATGTCTCCAAATAAAATAAAAAACAGATCTCGTGTCAGATTCATCTGAGTTACACACTCAGCTGTTCAGGTCTGTTGTTGCAGTTCATAAGAGTTTCAGGGAACAAAGGAATGATTTTTTCTCTCCTCCACACCAGGGGTTAGTGTGGAGGGGGGAAGTTGTTTTTCGGCTCATTTTGCCTCCTTCCTGAGGTTAGAGTCACCAGGATCTTTGTTCCCCCAGTAAATAAAGGATGCTAATTTCACATTTTTTTCTCTCAGAAGGCCATTAAGAAGGTGTTTTTATCCTCTCTCTCATCCATGCTGAGAGGAGGCTGAAAATTCTCCCTCATAAATAGAAGGAAAGGAAGTGTGACAGGCCTTTCTAGAACCATCTCTCGGTTACATCAGCTTCCCTAACTGCCTTTTGTGAGAAAAAGTACCACATTTTTCAAGGTTGTATAAGTAGTTTGGGACATGCAGTGCCTAAATTGGAGAGTGGCTGCTGATTCCCTGCCAAAAACAGCATTGCTGGGGAAAAAAAGGATGTTGGTTTGTGTAACATTTGCATCCGCTAATGGATAGTCCTAGAGGCATCTTTAGAAATAATTGCTAGGTTTTAAGTAGAAGTGCAAAATATTTCATTACAGCAGATGAAGGCAATGGCCAAATAATCTGTGCATCTGCTACTCAGTCTACCATCCAGGCATGAATGGTTGGTTGGGTGACTTTGGTGGTCCCAGTTGCTTTCCCTTCTATATTTCATTTGGAAGATTGTCTATGGAGATTCTCAATCATCCAAGTGAAGGTTGTCCCAAGTTCTGAAGAAGCTTCTTGGATGAGAAGCAAAACATTTTCAAGGAAAGAAACAACTAAGTTCACTTGACTTTCAAACAGTATCTTTGGGACAGGCTGGATGACTCTTTATGAAGAGGACATCTTGAAAGCTGGAGCATTATCCAGAGATTTCAACAAAATACAAGCGGCAGCCACAACCATGTTTATTGTGACCACTGTCTTGGTTTTTTTAAATCCTTCCCCACATTCTTTTTTTTTATTTTTTGGAAGAATTTTCATCTTGCAAATTGAATGCAGTCACCCAGTATTTTCATTTTCTACAGCCAGGCTGAAAATAGACATATTAGCAGTTTAGTGCTTTGCTTTACAATGGTTGACATCCTGCTTTTTCTAACTGACATGGCAAAAGGCTAAAAATCAGCTGGGACTGAGGATCAGATGGGTGTCCTGGGTTATTTCCATGGATGTATTGATGTCCATGAGACCAATCACTGACTCCAATGTCGACAACTACCAGAAACATGTAATGATAATGATTTGTTTTTGGCCAATGATAAAGCCAAGAAGTTGGTTTCATTCTGGCAGTTAAAGTTTGATCTAGACATGGAAGAAAAAGAACTGACTCTAAGAACTGTATGTGGCTCTAGTGAATAGAACATGAGATTATAATGAAAAACTAGAAATAGATTGAAAGAGGCTGATCTGGACTCATCAGTGATGTGCATGACAATAAATTACAAAATGTGGTGCTGGAACATTAGCAGATAAAATACCCTGTTTGAATTCTACCCTCAAAATTTTGTCCATATACTTTGCTGCCAATTCACGGAGTGTCTTATGTCCTCCAAAGCACTGCATTAACCCAGCCCATGAATTGCACCAATGAAATGCACTTTTCCCGCTGCTTGGTAAGTAAGTTTACCAATGTAATTTTAATTAAACAATCATTTGTCTTCCCCTCCCTCTGCTCCATTTCAATTAAGGGGGATCATGTTTCTGAGAAGGAAATGAATTTTTATGCAGTCCATATGATGTCCCCCCACCCCTTAATCAGATTTGTTCACTACATGACAATGGAGGGAAAATATTTGCTAGAAAGGCACGCTGTAGCTTGATGTGCATGCCTGCAGGAATCGAAGTAGGACAACTGTTCCCCTCCAGACTGCACACTGGTGCACGTCTTGCACAGTTGATACCCCCAGTAATCAGAAAGTTGATAATACCAAAAAAACCATTCATTCTTTTCTTTTCTTTCTTTCTTTCTTTCTGTCAAACTGTCCTTTACAAAGTCTGCATTACTATTACTATTAATCTTCTCATCACTCCTTATCACCCATCCCCTCCTACTGTGACTGTATGACTGTAACTTTGTCCCTTGTATCCTTACAATTTATATTGACTGTTTCCTAGTATGATTTGATTGCTTATTGTACCCTATGACTGTTATTAAGTATTGTACCTGATGATTCTTGACTCTTGATGAATGTATCTTTTCTTTTATGTACACTGAGAGCATTTGCACCAAGACAAATTCCTTGTGTGTCCAACCACACTTGACCAATA